TTTGCCGGCGACTCGTCAATGGCACTTGTGGATGAAACTGTGGATTCTGAAGGCAAGACCACGCGCGTCAAGCGCAACGTGGGCGAATACCTGAAGGAGGCAGGACCGTCACTCCTGACGGATCGCGCAGGCAGCGTCCAATACAGCCTGCATTGGGGCCGTGGCCTGGAAGCGATCATTGACGGAATAGAGGCTTGTCTTGACAACGGAAGGCGTCGCACACCGGGAGGTGCTGCCCCAGCCGTCATCGTGGTATCATATGCCGGAAATGATGTCTACGGCAACCACGGATTTGTGGGCAACCCTTGGGTGGACACCAACGTGCTCCACCGGAATCCTGCCAAGCAGAGAGCAGCCTATGAGTGGCAGGCAGAGCTGGCACAGAAACACGCCCAGCAGATGAGGCGTTTGGCGGACTTGAGACAGAGGAAAGATGTGGCAGCCCTGATCGTCATCTGCTACTGCGATTCGCAGAGTTATGGACTGCCGGAAGAATACGCCCGTCAAATGTGCCAGTCAGCGGATGTCTTCACTCGCCTTGGCGTCACGAATGTGACAGGCACCACCCTGGTTCGATCGTGTCAGAGGTATGACAACTTCCACTGCCACAACACCGAAGAGAACCGGGCGATGTTCGTGAAGTACTACGCAAACGTTGCTTTGTTTGCCTACCACTACTGGGTGCTCGCTGGCGTTGACGTGTTGCGCAAAGATGCCAACCTCTTCGCGAAACCTCGTGGGGAGAAAACTCACCGCCAGTATATGCTTGAGCACATCTGGAAGCGGCGCATTGATTCCGGGTACCTCTTCTTGGGTGACTTTGACGAGCACGATGAGCTTATCCCGGGTCAAAAGAGGCAGACTGCCATCGACCAAAAGAATGGCTGGCTCCTGACGGTCTCTGAGACTACCGAGGTCGCTCACATGGATGATTTTGGGGACCCAGTCTACGCGACCAAGGAGCAGATTGAAGCTGCCAAGCTCTTGCCATTCAATCAGCGACTTTACAATATGCCACGGGGAACCGTTGGTCCGGATTTCTATGACGAGGGTCAGGATGTGCAAGTCCCGGCTGAACCGTCGAAGGCTGATCAGACAATGCCGGATGCAAGTGTGCCAGAAGTCATCGAGATTGACGACACCTTTGCGCCCAGCGCTGATTCGCCTCCGGGGACGGAAGGTCGAGATGCAAACAACCAGGCTCCCGTGAGCACTCCGGGCATGGAGTTCGTGTCTGTCACCGCTGATATGCCAAAGCACGGTGACACCGAGGTGGACCCTGTGACCATCACGGAAGAAGAAGAGCTTCATGTATCCAATGAACCCATTGCGGATGAAAACTATGTCAATGAACTTCTCAAAGATCACCTTGACTCCGCCATCAAGCAAGGCTTTGAAAACAAAGATCAGCCAGATGATGACTCAGATGAGGAGATTGTATTCAAGGAACCGATTCTCACATCTATGCATGCCGATTCATGTCAGGTCGCCGGGGTAACCTACCAGTTGAGGAAGAAGGAGGATGAAAGTGATGTCATTCGCATCTACATGGCGGAAGAAGACATCCCTCAGCTCACTGGTGAGGCACTCAGGAAGTTCCGTGAAGTTACAACTCTGGGGAACGAGCCCGACCTGGCCAACAAGGCACCACAACCGAGGATCCCAAAGGCGAAGGCATCAGGTGAGCCGAGGGCACCAAAAGTGCCAAGCGAGGCTGCAAAGTCGAAAACAAAACCGGCATCACCGAAAGCAAAAGCACGCCCGGCGGGAGCTGAGGCCGATGTTGAAATGAAGCCAACAGAGGAAACTCAGCCCAAAGTACCAAAACGCCCGGCGGGAGCTGTGGCCTCGGATTCGACCCCGACAGCAAAACCAGCTGTCAAAGCCAAGGCCATGCCTCGGGCACCACCGGTGCCTCCCGTTTCGTCGCCTCTTGGGGAAAACGAAGTTGTGGCATTGCAGTCAAGATCGGTTCCGGGTGCTGCCAATTTGGCGAACCTGAACTCGAAACACGCGTCTCGGGCTTGCTCCGAGGGTGGGAGCATAGCAGACAATCCTGGCACAAGGTGCAGCCTCCGAGCTTCGACGCTGGGCTGTGGATGGATTTTGGCAAGGTGTACTCGTTCATCAAGCGGAAGTACGATGTCAACCTTACCAACGATGAACTGCTGACGGTCATTACATCCAATCACAGATTCATGCTCGAGGTGAGGATTGCGCCAAAGGGGACTTTGGTCGGTGGAAAATACCAATATACACCTCTCCGGATCAAAGCGATTCAGAACCATAATGAATGGTCAAACAACAACGTGAAGGACGCACTTCCTGAGCATGAACGCTTTGTCACTCTCGATGAGGAGTATACTTCGGTGGAATACCTGGCCGGCAAATTCCCTCGGGTTCCGCGAGGTGCGCTGGGAAAGGTGAAGGAGGTGGCCCCCACCATACTCTATCACTACACGCACCGGGCAGCACTGGTTGAGATCATCAACATGGGATTGATTCCCGGCGGCAATCGAACTGGAGCCAGGTTCACATTCTTGACGAAGGAAGATCCGTGGACAATTTCGGGCACTGACTATGCAGCGATGGCGGCGACACGCCCCATCTGCGTTGCCTTGGATCTCCAAATGATGATTTTGAACGGGCACCGGCTCATAGAAACAACTGCTGGTACAATCCTATGCCCTGACTGGCTGGCAAACCGGAACGTGATTTACGTGTATGACATGGAGTCCCGATGCTACGCCTTCGCGAACCATGTGTACGCACACTATCGCGGCATCATTACCGGTGAAACCAAAGCCTTCAATTCAGCACGCACTGGGGGACCAGTTGCCGATGACGATGAAATGGTGAAAAGCCCACTGGAAAAGTACACCTACCAGGTCCTTGGTGACTACGAGAGGTGGTGTGGTAAGGTGGACACTTTTTCCCCATTCGTGTACGGTGAACTGTTTGAACGCCCAGGCGTGAAAGACCAAATGATATCAGGAAAGCAGAATCCTGATTTGGAAACATACGAGGTCACGTATGTCGTTCGCAGGCCCAATTTCAACGCCTACAGGAACCAAGTGTCGCCCAAAGAGATGCTGCCCAACTACAACCGACCTCGGTTTGATTGGCGCAAGATCCACCCCGAGACTGAGGGTTATGGCAACACTCGATGGATGGTCGTTGAGGGCATTCAGATGCCAGAAGCTCAGTGCCCAACATGCACAAATACCTACACCCATGGCATGATGTCCTGCATCACATGCGGCGCCTTCCTCAACAATGCCTCGGATCTGTGTAAAGCTGCTCAGCTCATTCGGATCGAGGAAATTGCAGCAGATCTCGGTATCGAAGTCACGATGGACATGGTACTTGAGGACAGGCTGCAAGGAACAGGTGTGAGGAGGACGCCGGCGGGGACGCCTGGCCATGAAGTTCAACGTGCTTCTCGTTCGGGCATCAACATCTTGAAAGCGAACGCCAAAAGCCATGTCCAGAAGGCGGACAAAATGTCCATGACAGTATCGCAGCGACAGCTGACTGACGCTTTCTACGCGTTCAACTGTGCAGCCCAGGACCTCTCTCCAATCTGCATTCAGTTCCTGGAACGACTGTCAGATGCCATCATCCCTGATCCTCCGAGGACAAGGGAGATGATTGCTCGTGGCGTCGGTCATCGATACGCTGGAAAAGTCATCTTCATGAACGAGCCAGCAAAAGGGAATGATGCTGACCTGAGCGAGGACTTCTTCATTTATTGGAAGAACAGGCTGCACCGTCCAGAGACTTTCGCTGCGGACTATTGTCAAGGTGCAAAACGACCCGCAATCCTGGGATTTGGAGGTGAGTGGCGAAGTGAGAAGACGGACCCTGATGATGTGTTGGATGAACTCCTGGAATTCGTGATGGGCGATGCTCAATTTGTACCTGGCTTGGATATCAACCTTGTGAAAGAAACAAGGGCACTTGTGATTCCCAAGGCCAAGGCCGCACCAGGTCCAGGTGAAAGTCTGGCCAGAGCAACGCGTACTCAGGCCGAGACATCAGAGCAACGCTGGCGAGGAGCTGCCGGAAGTGATCAATACCATGATTGGCAGCAGTCATCCTCATCGTCTTCCTGGTGGTCCTCATCCAACCGCAACTGGTGGCAAGATGATCGCGGTCGTGGCAGTGACTGGCGAGGACATGACTGGTGGAGTCAGCGCAGGTGGTGAACACGACGCACAGCGGGAGCTGTTGCCTGTGGAGAAGAGAATGAAATCTACGGGTGACTCGGCTGTCTTTGTGCACTGTGTTTTTCCCTCAACGCACCGCGGGAGCGGTTGCCTGGATGACCGTTTCTGTGATGCACCGGGGGACCGGATGCCTGAAACCAGCAGCTAATTCGTTTGAGTTCAGGTCGATGAACTTGGCTCTCAATCCTTGCAATGAAGAGCGCACATCTTTTGTTGTGCTTTGTCGCCACGCGGGAGCGTGTGCCTTGATGGCTTTGTTCCTGCTTTCTAAAAGGTTGGCATTGCACTCCCAGTTCCGCTGCGCAAAAGAGATTATCTTTGTGAGCTTGCTTTGAACTTTCATGCATGAATCAGTTGAGACATGTTCAACCCTAGCATCAAAGCATGACAGTGCAATATGTGATCCGTCCTTGAGGTCAACCATCCTCTCCATCTCAAGGCACGTTCCGGTCCGATGCTTCGCACGTACCGGGGGACCGGATACCTTCGTAGGCCCTTAATTAATGCACTGTACATAACTTCACTCCTCCCATTTTCGTTCAGCGGGGGGGTGTTGTTTCACGCTAGGATGTCGTATACATGTCTCACTTTACTACCGTTTGGCTCAAGGAAAACCAGGTGCGACTTGTTGGTAGTTCTCGGTCGTTTACCTGTATCTACAAAGATCAAAGATCCAGACCATCCCCCCCAGTTGATTGAGTTGCTTGGGGGGGGAACTCTGTCATTCTTATCTCCCGTAGAAGATCAGAGATCCTCTTCATGTTGGCTGAGGTCAATCCTAGTGCCACGTGAGATGGCACACCGTTTTCCCTTTGACATGTGCGCGACGTCGTCGGGGACAAGCTGTTGTCTTCCGCAGAAGAAAGGTCAACTTGGTTAGGCCACGAATCACCATGCAAAACCTTTGTCCGGAGGTCTCTTCTTCAGGTTTTTCATGGCTTTTCTCCACCCGGTGAATGCTTCGCCGTCAAAGCCAGACCTCACCAGATCCTCACCGTCCGGTTCCTGCTTTTGGAGGAAGTCGGCTCGGACGGCCTTGCGGGCGGACGTCAGGTACGTGGACCCGGTCTTTCAGACCTCAGACCCCACGGAGCGCATCAAAATGAGGCTGGGAATGGCTGAGCGGAGAAGAGCGGAGAATGGCGGAGTAGGCCATGCGCGCGGGGCGGAAAAGGAAGCTGCGGGGGTTGGCATGGACAACGCCCAGAAACGGTGTCTCGGTGGACAGTGGCTGTTGTTGTGGGTTTGTCGTGGGAGAATTGGGAGTTGGAATGAGGACCCCAGGATTCTTGGCATTTCCCAGAACTTGTTTCAATTTTGACCACTATTCATGGGACTTCCCCATCTTGGCATCGACTTGTGTGTTCGTTCGAAGTCGGTCGACCTTTTTTGGGCCGCTGTCCATCACTCGCGTGGCTTTGCATCACTCGCGTGGCACGCTGTCCAGGGGATTCACCCTTTTTACTCGCCTGCAGAACAAGACTCGCCCTCAGGGTCGAACGAAGGTGTTGTGCGGGGAATGGGGAAGTGTGGAACAGGCGGACTTTGCGAGGAAGAATCGTTTGGAGAATTCAATGGCGAACCAGGAACCGGGAAGTAGACCCTAGAAGTCAATTTTCACTGACTGAAGTAAAGACATTCCTCTTCGTGTCACCTAAAGACAATTATAGTCTTTGACTCCCAGGGTAGATGGAAGTAGAACATGTATAGAGCAAACTTCAAGCCTGGTGCCAAAAGCACCTAACTTCAAGCCTAGAAGATCCGTTTCAGAGAACAGGAAGCATATCGAAGCATGGCGCGCTTCGCAATGCGTGATGCGAAGTTAGCTGTGCAGCTGTGTCACCTGCCGCTTTGCTCAGCTCGTATCTCTTGCTTAAGGACCACTCTCTTGTTGATCTTCTCTGGACAACCGCTGAGTGGCCTTTGGCCTGCAGCTCAGATCTTCCAGGGCGACGACCTTTGGCTTCCTGTCTTTCAGCCAGCCATGGAGTTGCCAGTTAGCCATCATGTGCTATCCCACAAAAACTTGCCCATTGAAGAGGAATGAAGATAGACCTGAAAATCTCTAGCAGGCTGTGCTACTTTTGTGCCACTTGCGATTTGACAGGTCTCCCGTCTCCCCAAGAATGTCAAATTCGTGGGCTGTCAAGACCTGCAGAATCCCAACATTATTTGCACCAATAGGGGAGGTAAAGCTCGGAGATGTTGTGGGCACCACGGAAGCGATCTCGACATCACGGCCACGGTTCTTCCTGAAACCCCGCCCGAGGACGGGTCTTCAGCAGTGGCTTGAGTCGGTGGGTGAGGAGTTCACGTCCTTGCCCAAGACCCAGGCAACGACGGTTTTCAGGGTGGTGGGGCATGGTGGAGATGGGCGGAGAATCCGGTTTTGTGTCCTTTTTTGGTCTATGGAATCCTCGTTGGATCTCGTTTCCTTTCTTTTTGGGTGGGACATTTCGCTCGTGGAATCCATTAATGGCATAGACGACGGACCGCTACGCCCGGAACCAACGGACCATCGCACCTGACGACGCGACGACATCACGTCCCGGCCAGAAACGCCACGGGTTTCCGTTGATCTGGGGACGGTGCTGTGCTGGCTGGTTGGCCCATGTTTCTGTGGGGAATTGGTTTGTCCATTTGATTCAGAGTCCTTGCAGACCTTGCAGTAACGCCACAAAAAACGGCTGTTAATTGACCGATCTCGGGGTTTACCCAGACACTCAGAGAATGAGTCTCTCCTGGTCTCTCCTGTTGGGGAGCAGGTCTTCAAGTTGCACTGTGAAGAAGGCTGGTTCAATCGTCGGACCCATCAGCTCACCAAGTTCCAGTTGCGGCGCCAGGCGCGCTGGCGAAGTCGACCCGGTCGACCGTTGGGAGGTTTGGGGAGACCTTCCCCCGTCGTCGTTCCCTGGGACTGAACCCGTCCAGTCGTTCGTTTGTCCAGTCGGGCCTGATGTTGTGGTCGAAAGAGAAAGAAGAGCGGAGAAATGGACACCACGCCGTGGTGGAAGTATGAAGGGGGGCAGCGTGGGGGCAATTAGGGGGCAAGGTGGAAGTGATAAGGGGGCAGTGTGGGGGCAACGAGG